GGAACTGATTTTGGGAGACCTCCTATATTGGATGAAGGGAGGCATAATGGAAGATGTGGACTGAATTGTGGTCAAGCACCATGTCTTCATGATCAGGGGGTGGAGCTGCTGTAAAAGTGCAGCCTTTTCCTGGGAAGCTTCTCAATGCTTGATTGCTGGTGCCCTTTTCCCACTGTCCCTGAGCAGCCAGATGGCCAGGCTGAGAAGTGGCCTGGAATATTTGCCTCATCTGTTACCTCCCACTCTGTGATCACCACCTCCAGAGCATGCTGAACCCTGTACAGTACATCTGCTTGCAAGTTGCTGCTGAAAAGCTGAGCTGCCGCCTCCTCCCACCTGTGAGAATTAAACCATCCTCCAGGCATCCTAAGCTGCCTCTCCAGTGCTGTAACCTGCTTGCTTTCCCTCACCACTACCACAAAAGCCCCTAACTCCCCCTGTCCCCCAGCCTTTGCCAGGCTTCCATATGCCATTGCGTTATGGTCAGCAAGAACCACTTTTAACCCTCTGAATGCCACTGGCTCCCCACCTTACATTGTCCCAACCCTTGTTGGTGGTTCTTCTCCATCTCTTCTGTGGACCTTTTCACGTGAGATGTGCTTCCGTGGCACTTTGCTTCTCTCCGTCTCTGTCCTTGTCTTTCTGGACCAGTGACCCATATACTGCTGTGGCGCTTAGGATCATAGACAAGTAGGGCTGGAAGGGACCCCACAAGATTATCTAGTGGAGCTCCCTGCTCAAAGCAGGATCATCCCTGGCTACACCATCCCAGATGAGCGTCTGCCCAAACTGCTTAGGGGACCCCTCACCCTACCATGATTACCATGTCCCATTGCCCATTTAGTATGGCAGGGGTGGGCCTAGATGAGACTGGGTAGGGGGTTAATGTGGGCTGCCTCCAAAGGACCTGGCTCAGTGTCCCCCACACAACTCTAGGGCCTGTGGCTACAGCTGCACCTGCCTTATCCCAAAGGGCTGTGCTTGGTGTCTATGAAAACAGTGAAAAGGATGCATATTCTTAGGGGTCTCATCCAAGATGAGACTGAGATACTGGTGGCATTCCTGAGGGTATGGCCAAGGTTTGTAGTCACTGCTCTGTCTCAGACCAGTGGGGCTTTGACTAGAGACAAAACCCAGCTTTTTGGATGCCCCTGGGTAGTCGCATTGCCTTCCTGCCCCTCAGTTTGCCCATCTGTAAGGGGGAGACAAGATAACTTACTGCTTGGGGAGGGCCAGACTTTCTTTGTATTGTTCCTTGCAATCTGTAGTCTTCTGGTAGCATCTCTTGTTTCTCTTTCTAGCTGTGCTCAGAGGCAAAGAGAAAAGATGCCAATGCCACGCAGTACCAAGACTGTGGGCAGTAAACAGCCCCGGCCTGGCAAAGCTGTCCCAGTGGTGGAGAATGGCAGATCTGAGAAGGTGAGTCTCTGGGATAGTAGTTGCCTCTCTCTCCAGCTGTATGCACAGCCCCTGCAGACATACTGTAAAGGTGGGACCCAGTCACTAGATGTGGGGAGGCCAGAAGGAAAGATGGTCCTTCTTAGCTGGACCTGGATTACCACCAGCTCTTCAACAAACTCCCCAAGTGGACTTGGAGCAAATCCATGGCCTGTACTGTTCTCTATTGCCCACCTGTAAAATGGGACACAATGGCACTGCCTTACTTCCTGGAGGTATTCTGAGGTGGCCAGAGGCATGTCACAGGCAGAGCAGCTCCAACCATGACGTCAGTGGCTTGGTGGAGGTATACTTGACCCTTGTGGTGGCCTGTCCCTCAGGGTGCGGCTGCTGCGGGAGGGTGGATAGAGAAGCACGTGTCTGGTGTCTCACTAGGTTGCCTCAGTCATGCTGCTTTGCTCATTTTCCTCTTTCTCTAGGAGGAGAACAGTCAAACAAAGCGGTCCCCGTCCTCACCTCAGGGTGCGCCCAAGAAGAGGTCAGCATTTGGAGACATCACGAATGTAAGTACCCAGTGGCTGAGGCCAGGGGATCTTCTGGGGGATTGGGGCTTTTCTTAGGTTTCAAGTACCCTAAATCAAACCTGTATCTTCCTTTACCTATTATGGGATGGAGCAGCAGCCTGGGGTGTCTGTCTGCTGGCTGTGTGGGCAGAGATGGTTGGAGGGACGGGGAATGAGACATCCTGCTTCCTGACTGTATTCCCATACTGGTCATTCCTCATCAGTCTGGGAACCAGCTCTTCTGATTCCCATCCCTGTGCTCAAACAACTAAGTCACACTTACATCAGCACTGCAGTATTTCTCTTGCTTAAGCCTGGATGGGAGCAGCCTCCAAGGAATGATTTCAAAATGGTACTTGCAGTCTCCAAGCAAATCCAGACACTGAACCTGCTTGCTCAGGAGAGATTAGCATTCTTGACTCCAGAATGGAGGACTGAAGGGGCTCCTGGGCCAATGAGTCTGTTTCCCTGTATTTGAAGTCAATATTAGAATTGCCCCATAATCACCACTTCAAACCCTTGCATGTGCCAAGGGCCAGTACCTGAAACATCATGGCTAAAAGCAGGGGAAATGAGGGCCCTGCCAATGACCTGCCACTACAATGAGACAGAAGTAGACAGTTAATAGCTTCGCAAAATATCCTAGGAAAAGTACCATGCCCCATTGCTTCAGAGGAAGACAAAACCTGCGTATTTCACCAGTCTGTCTTAATGTTATAGGCAGCCTTGCCTTTCCCTGGGAAGTCCTTGACTTGAATGCTCACTGTAGTGTATTGTTCTAAGGAACTATGCAAGAGCTGCTTTTCATTCAGGGTATTTGAAGTCTCCTTCTAACAGGAGAGCAAAGCTCCAGGCTTTCCCGACTATGTCTCAGGTGGGGCCCAGTTGTGCGGGACATTATAGAAAGATTTCTATATTTTCACTTTGCTATAAGTCCCTAATGGTTCACATGGTTTTGCTGCTATGACATGTAGTGTTTGTGGTCTGTAGAGAGTTAGTCTAAAGGAGGTCCTAGGTCTGATCCACATGTGTACAGCTACTGAGGGCTTTAGCTTCAGCCCTACATGCCTTGAAGTTCCTCAAGCTTCAAGATCTACTGTAGAAGTTGGACTTTATGTCACTCTAACCTTGGTGAGCAGGCCTGGAGGTGGGAACACTGGGGATTCAGTAAGTTGCAGGCTGGCAATCTATGGACCACAGGCTGGATTTGGCCTGCGGACCCTTTATATCTGGCTCATGGATGTGGGGCTTCAGCACCCGCTTTCCCCAAACCAGCACAAGAAAAAGTGGCAGTGGTCAGTGCTTTCCACATGCTGGTGGCAGGTAAAAGCAGCAGCACTGGCTGAGTCCTAGTGCCTGCCCTTGCCTCCTTCCACCAGCCTGCTTCTGACCTGAACTGGCCAGTCCAGCCCACAGTTTTTTAAAGGCTGCCATCCCCTTCACTAAGCACTCAAAATCCCATTGAAGTTAATCCCAGTTCATGGGTGTTCCCACTTAGTTCAAATGGAACTAGCTGTTTTGGGACAAGAATGACTTGGAAGCTTCCCTCCTCGTTCGTGATTGGCCAGGATATCCTCCTAAATGTAGCCCCAGGCAAAGGTGTATTGCACCCTCTGTACCCACCACTGCAAAGAGAGGTGGTCTCCGGTGCGTGGAACACAGTGCTGGGGAGCCTGGGGAAACTAAGCCATGCTGTAGTCACGTCTCTCGGAGCTCCGTTTCATTGTCACTCCCTCTTCAAACAGGCTCATAAGAACCAGGTTGTCGTGGGAAAGAAGGAGGCTGTGAAGGCAGGTCCCAAGAAGGCACAGAAGGGCACCGCCACACTGGGGGTCCTGAAAAACAATGAGATCAACTTGAAAAAGTGAGTGTGAATTGAGGTGATGGGTGTTTGGGATGAATATGTGTGTATGGTCCTGGCTCGACCCCCAGTCTGCCTGCCCAAACAGCAGCTCTGGGATTTTTGCCCCTATCCAGCTGTGACAATGTGCCATTACTCCTGGTATCAGTCTGGTGTGGGGGGTCTGGCTGCTGTTAGTATCAGTATTGACTCAAAGAACTGGCATGTACACCTGCATGTCCCGCTGATGGGAAACCATGGGTTTTTCCTTGCAGGCTGGCAGAGTTCCAAACTGCATGGGGCTGCTTGAGGCCCCCCCATGCCCCACACCCATCCCCTGTGCCCACATACTTGGGAGCAGGGGGCATCAGCAGGACCAGGGGGCTGTTTTCTACTTAAACTATTTACTGTTGGGTTGGGACTAGCCATCGGTGTTTACAAATGGGTCTTGGTACAAAAAAGGCTGAAAACCACTGCTCTAAGGGAAGGGTCTTACCCTCACCTCTAGAGAAGCTGCTTCAGGGCATTGGTGGGGATGCAATACCAGGCCCTGGGCTTATGGCTATCCTAGCACTACAGCCCCTTTTCTAATTAGAGTCACCCCAGCAGGCTGAGAGCCAAGCCTACCACTGTGACTTACCTTCTCCTGGCTGTTGTGTTTCAGGTCGATGAAGAAAACTCCCCCAAAGGAGGCACACGCTGAACTCAAACCCATCCCCAAGAACAATGCTGTACAGGAGAAGCCAGCACCTGTGCAGGTGTTGGAGTTGGGCATTCCCTTGGTTCTTAGTGTTTGCTGGGACAGCACAGGATTTGGAGGGATAAGCAGCACATGTGGACTTGCTGTCACTGTGCTGCAGCCTTCATACACCCCACTGTGGTCCCAGGAGATGAAGCATCCTGTCCTGATCTGATCCTGTCCCTAAAGAGTGCTCATGTGCCTCATGCTGGTGATACCAGTGACTGACTCAGTGTCTTCATCTGCTGCTCATCCCACAGTGGGAGACCAAGCCTCAGAGACCTCTGCTGAGTAATGTCACACTGTGCCAGCACAGAAACAGGCCCACCAGGCTCCTGGCTTCTAGCTGAGGCTTAGTCAGAACAGCAGAGTGAGGAGCAAGTGTTGGAGGGAGAGGTGGTGGAGGGTAGGCTGACCTCTGCAAGCCACATGGGTGGGATGCATGAGTAGCAAGGGGTGCTGCAGGGCAGGACTGTAATGCACTGAGAGCTTCTTGGGCAGGGTGTGCTATACCCAGTGCTGTTCCAGTCCTTGCTTCACACACAGCTCTACTGCCACCCCTCTGTCCCACTGCTCAGCCCCCTGCTGTTTGGGAAAGAGCAGCCTGAAAACTGTGGCCCAGTGCCTGTCTCTGAGCGTCCACATGGCAGTGGAGTTAAATTAGCCAACTTGAGTTACAGTAGTCGTAAGGACAAAGCAACTGCTGTAGCAGCTTGAATTCCAGCCCAGAAGGGAGTCAGAGCTTGCATATGAGCTGCTGCCCCAAGATAAAACCCCCAGTGCCTTGTTCCCCTGCTGTTCCAGCCCTGGTTAGCTGAGGAAAGTTAAGAATGCACCTTGACAGCAGTATGGGTGTGTCCTTGCTGTCTAGGACACTTGGGGCTTGTCCCATGTGGTATCTTTGCTTCCTTTGCTGTTCCAATGGTTCCAACCTCCTCCCCTTCCCTGCAGATGCCAGTGGTAGAGGACATTGACAAGTACCAGCTGGAGGACCCGTACGCCAATGCTGTGTATGCCAAGGAGATCTTTGATTATATGAGAGGGAGAGAGGTCAGTGACCTACAGGATGGAGAGAAGGAAAATGTTTTATCTGCTGTCCTACCAGGAGAGGCAGGCTGGGCTGGGCCAGATCTGCCTTGCCATGCTCTGGCAGCCAGCCCAATGCAAAAGCTGTCCCCCTTTGCATCACTGCTGACTTAGCTGATCTAGGTTTGAGGGCTGGGGATTCACCTTGTGTCCCACACTGCAGGCATGAGACTGCTGGGGGCCAGCCTGGACAGGAGGGCAGTGATGCCCAACCCCTGGTGGTGATGCGAGAGGGAGCATGCTATACTCAGCCATGCACTTGGCAGTCTGTGGGTGCCAGAAGGCAGGGCAGGTATTCCAGCCCCAACAGACAGGAACTTAACTCACCAACAGCTTCTTGGCTGCTCCTTTGGCAGGAGAAGTTTTTGCTCTCGGACTACATGAAGAAGCAGCCTGACATCAGCTGGGACATGAGAGCAATCCTGGTGGACTGGATGGTGGAGGTGCAGGTGGGCAGATCCTGGGCCTGGGGACACTGGGGGCGGGGGCAGGTCAGGGCATGGGTCAGCCTGTGTTTGGGTTTTAAGAGGGAAATGCAGACACAACATCCCCCTCCCCCTGGCTGGCCTGAGCTGGAGCTATGTGGAGAACCTCTTCACGCCCTCTGTGAAATGGGTCAGCTGCCTCAAGGCATGCACCAGTGTGTGGCAAGGGAGGGGAGATCAGCATGTGGGGTGGTGCATTGGGAGGAGGTCAGGGGTCAGTGAGGGAGCAGAGGAAGCTCCTCATATTTTTCTACAGCTGGTGGAATAGTGCTGGTCACCTTGTGGAAGTGCAGGCCCCAGTCCACCATGTGCTGGTGTCACTGAGGGGTGAGAGAGAGCAGCAGCCTGGTGCTTCTAGTCTAGTGCAGGCTGGGATTTGCCTTCTGTGGTCCTCAGCTCTATTGCAAGCTGAAAGAAAGACTCCGATCTGCTCCTGAGTGCTCAGGAGCGGGTGAATGCCTGGGTGGAAATCAGCACATGAGGGTTCCCACTTTGTTACCTACCCTGATCCCTCTTCGCCAGGCACAGGAAGCGTGTCTACCCGTAGCTGGTGAAGCTAACTCTAGCTTCACCCCATGGCCTACGGGCTCTGAGGGTGAACTGGAGGAGGAGAAGGCACAGGGGACTCAACTAAAGCTGCTTCTTGACCCAGCTGGCAACAAAGCAAGCCCCGAGTCACTGTACCCCTTGCCTGGGGGCTGTAGGTGTGATTGGCAGCCACTGGCCAGCAGGCTGGTATATACTCATCCTCTGCTGTCTCTTCCAGGAGAACTTTGAGCTGACCCATGAGACGCTATACCTGGCAGTGAAGCTGGTGGATCACTACCTGTTGGAGGTGGTCAGCATGAGAGACAAGCTACAGCTCATTGGTTCCACAGCCATCCTCATTGCTTCCAAATTTGAGGTGACTCATTGCTTGCCTTCCTCTGCATTGGAGAGAGGCCACCAAAGATGGGGGAGGATGGGAGCATATGGACAAGCCAGGTCATAGATTAAGGGTCGGAAGGGACCTAGTAGATCTTCTAGCCCGACCCCCCGCCAGGGCGGGAGAACAACAAAAAACCCCAAAAAGAGAAACGGGACTCAAACGAGTCCAGCCAGGTAGGCATCCAGCCTCTTCTTAAAGACCCCCAGGGTAGGGGCCAGCACCACTTCCCTTGGAAGTTGGTTCCAGCTCCTAGCCGCCCTAACCGTGAAGTAGTTTTTGCGGATGTCCAATCTATACCTCCTCTCCATCAGCTTGTGCCCATTACTCCTTGTTATGCCAGCGGGCGCTAGGGGAAACAGCGTCTCCCCCAAACCCTTCTGGTCCCCCCTAGTGAGTCTATAGACGGTCACCAGGTCCCCCCTCAGCCTTCTCTTGTGGAGGCTGAATAGGTTCAGGTCCTGCAGTCTCTCACTGTAGGGTCTGCCCTGTTGTCCCCGGATCATGCGGGTGGCCCTCCTCTGGACCCTCTCCATATTGTCCACATCCCTCTTGAAATGTGGCGCACAGAACTGGACACAATACTCCAGCTGTGGCCTGACCAGCGTCGCGTAGAGGGGAAAATTAGGTCTTCAGGGCTGTAGTTGTTTCTGTCCCTCATTTCCTGTACCTTTGAGAGGCCCAACCATCAGAACTGCAGGTGGGGGCTGCAGGCTGGGACTGTGGTGTATCAAGGCAATGGAGGGAATTTTTGCCCTTGGCATCTCCATTTTTCTTTAGTCTTGGTGTAGATTGGCTCACATGCTGTCTGTAGAACTAGTCCATATGGTAATGCAGTGACTAACACTAACCATGCTTAGCAAGGGAAAAAGAACAGCCAAAATCCCCCTGCAGCAGGGCTGGGTGACTGTAACCTACAGCTAACCCTACTTGAATGCCTTGTGACTCTGAAGTGTGATATGGGTGGTTTTGCACAGATACTTTTGCCTGTTTTGAGGAGGTAAAGGGAAGACGATAGGGTAAGGAAAGCACCAGGCAGGGAATTCTAGACCAGGCAACAGGTATAAATAAGCCATTTGATCCCACAAGTGCTGGCTAACTGTCTGAAACGCGCTGTACCCTGACTGCGTGTGAACTGCAACTATTTGCTGCTATCCCAGCCAGAAATGAAGAGTTGTGCTGAGAATTGTTTTGACTGGGAAGTCACCCTCCTACCAACGCTGGCTAGTTTTGATTTTGGCTAGAGAGATTCTTGGGGTTTTTTTTAAATATCTACCCTTCCCCCTTCGCTGCCCAAATTGTGTATAGAGCAGAGGCCAAACAGAGGCAGGAGGAGAGCCCACAACCTGAAAAAGAAGCATCTGGGCAAGTTATTAGCAAGGGGTAAGGGAAAGGTGAAGCTAGTCAAAGCTTCTGTCAAACTGTTTGAAAGGCCTGGAGTACCAGCATGACCAACTACGCTTTCCCGCAGGGAGGTGGAGGTGGGTTTTTTCAAAAGGCTCTAGGGCCACGGTAGCCAAACCACGGCTTGTGAGCCTCGTACGGCTTGCCAGCGTGATACGTGCGGCTCTCTGGAAATTGGCCAAAGCCCCACCCACTTTGGCCCGAGGAGGCTCTGGGGGGCAATGCAGCCCAGCACCTCCTGCTGCTCCAACTTTCCCTGTGGGGAGCGCGCCCCAAGCCCGCCCTCCTTCTCCCTCTGGGCCTGCCGGCTCAGGCACCAGGCTGCCGGGGCAGGGGCTGCAGCTGCGCCGCTTACCCCGGGGCACACTCCTCGTGGGGAAAGCCAGAGCAGTTCGGTGGGGTGGAGTGGGGGGGGTCACTTCCACTCCAGCTTGCACAGCACACCCTCCTTTCCCCCCTACTCTCTGGTTCTTGGACTTCGGTGGAGGATCGGCTGCAACTCCCGGGGTGCGTAACTCTGGCCACCCCTGCTGTAGGGCTTTGGCAAAAATCAAGTGCCAGAAAACTGAAACATTTTCTCCTTTGGATCTGCTTCTGCACTGCCTCATGAGAGTTCTTGGGTCCTCTTCAGCTTTCCCAACAGGTCAGGCTTACTGGATGGGACTCCATCTCCCAGTGTACATCTCTCCAAGCAGGGAAAATGGGGTGCATCCTAGGAGATAGTCACACCAGGGCACATAAACTCCCATTCTGTTTCAGAGGCAGAGGCACTGCAGCAACTTTCTCCCTGCTCTGGGACGGGGTGAGGCAGGTATTCAGTGGCCTGAGAAATATGATGTCCCCTCTTGTTAGAAAGAGACCTCTGGATGCAGCACGTCCTTCCAGCACTGAGTGTTCATACAGCTTGTTTCTCCTCTCCTGCAGGAGCGCTGCCCCCCATGCGTGGATGACTTCCTCTACATCTGTGATGATGCCTACAAGCGGGAGGAGCTGATCGCCATGGAGATAAGCATTCTCCAGACCCTGGAGTTCGACATCAACATTCCCATCCCGTATCGCTTCCTGCGACGGTTTGCCAAGGTGAGGGCCTGGCCTCTACCTAGGAGTGTGGCGGGGAGAAGTGTCTGGGAGATCGCTGTGACTGAACCACAGTGGGTGGGCATCTGAGTTGAGTCTTCCCCATCCCCTCAGCCAAGCTGCACCACTGCACCGGGGTGGTAGTGGAAGAAAGAGCCCTTGCATGGAAGGCTCTTGTTTGTGCTGCTTGGGCCTGCCCTCTTGTGGGGAAGATTCAGATGTAAATCTTCCTGGAACTAAGCTCTGCAGGGTGAGGGTGGAAGTTGTGGGTGTGGAGACTCCTCCATGAAAGGACCTGGGTGCATCTGATTATGCCCTGGGTCCCAGCTCCCGGGAGATGGCTCTTGGGATTGCCTGTCCCTTGTGGGGGACCCAGCCAGCTGACCTACCTGCTGCCTTGCTGATCTGCAGAGAGCTTTCTGGCTTGGACTGTGGGGCACCTGTAGACGCCCATGCCACCAGTGCCCCCAGCCCTCATCGGGTCACCTTCCCTTTGCCCATGCACCAAGGGTGAATCAGGCCTTTCTTGCAGGGGACTGGTGACAAAGCAGGTACCCTAGCTGTAGGGCTGGACCCCATGCCTCTAACCAGTGCAGCTTGAGGCTCACCAACCCATATAGTGTGTACCTCCTCTATAGATGGAGCTGGATCCTTCTGGATCTGGGGGTGGAGAGCTGGAGGAGGGATTGCCCTTTGTAGCTTGGATTTGGTGCTAGGGTAGCAGTAGCAAGGTGGGATTGTCCTCACAGCTGTTCCTTCTCTTTTGTGTGGGTCCCAGTGTGCTCATACCAGCATAGAGACACTGACTCTGGCACGCTTCATCTGTGAGATGACTCTGCAGGAGTATGACTACATCCAGGAGCGCGCCTCCAAGCTGGCTGCCAGCTGCTTGCTTTTGGCACTCAAGATGAAGGACCTTGGCGGATGGGTGAGTGTCCAGTTCAGGAGGGCTGGCTGACCCTGAGCCCATAGCCCTTAATGATAGGAGCTGTTAGCAGAAGAAGGCTGGCTAGAGTTGCAGGCAACGCTGCAGCTTTTGTATTTTTGGAGCCATCTCAGGCAGGTTCCTCCAAGACCAGGGTGCCAGGTTCTGTCCCTAGGAGAACAGAGATACTCCAGCTGCCTTGGAGCCATTGGGAGAAATTTCCTGTTGCCCATGACAGGGGGTGCCAGGTGCCCCTTGATGGGCAAATGATGCAGGGAACTTTGGTCTGGGCAGCAGACACGTTGTCAGCCCAACAGATGTGCCCAAATGTGTATGTATTCCCCTTTCAGGAGTACGGAGAGAGGACCTTATCCAACCAACCTGGCCTCTGAACCCTGGTGCTTGCTTTTTCCACATCCTGTGACCTTTTGAGCACAGTGACCCTGTTTCTCTGGCCATCTCCTGGGAGGACATTGCTTCCACTCAGCATAAGTCTCCCCTGCTCTTGAGGCCTTTCAGCAGCCTTGTCTTTGTTTTCCATGGGGAACTCCACTGCATCCTGTTTGTACCAGATGTAACCTGGGAAGCCTTTGTGGGCCCAGACTGGTGTAGTTTGGAGTATATGGGCCATGGGTCTGACCCCCCAGGATACCATCTCCAAGGGTCCTTAGAGGGAGAAGTGCATCGGGCCTGGTTATGGTGTGCTGGCTTCAGCCCAGTCTGAGTCTCTGGCTTGTTGCAGAGCCCTACCCTGGAATATTACAGTGGCTACACATCTCAAGAGCTGCATCCCCTGGTGAAGAGGCTGAACTTCCTGCTGACCTATCAGCATGTTGACAAGCTCAAGGCTGTGCGCACCAAGTACTCCCACCGGTAAGGGATCTCTGGGCAGCTGGGCCCTGTTACATGGAGTGGGGCTAGGGGCTGCCTCTGACTAGAAACTGGGAGATGTCTTCCACTAGGCCAGCAGGGGATGCTGCATTAGGTACTTACCTTCCAGCACACTGTGGCCAGAGGCTGGAAAAATTCACAGGTTGTAGGCTCCGAGCCCCACTTGTTCACAACCTGCCAGGGGTCCTGACCTCCTGGGACTGCTGCAGCTGAGGACAATGGGTGCTGGCACATAATGATCTGTGGCAGGGTTGACACAGCCAGAGAGCTGGGGCTGCAGGCTCACCTGTGCCCCACATCTTGTATTTCTGCTGAGGTATACTTTTTCTGGACACTGGCCTTGGCAGGGGCAGCTGGAGCCTGCCTTTCCTCTGCTGTCTGCCTTTCTGTAATGCTGCATAGCTCTGGCCAGGCAGATGTCTTTTACAGGGAAGACCTGGGAAGGGGTTGCAGATAGCTCTTTGCTGCTTAGCACTGTGCAAAGAGACCTTGAGGCCTTATATTATGTTACTGATTCATGTGCTGGATGCCTGGAAGGACTGGAGGACATGCCCAGGCAGTGGCAGCTGAGAGGGAAGGTGCCTGGGCTTCCTATTAAAGGCCAGTTTAACTCCAGAGCCCAGTCGCATTTTGGAGAAAGCTATTGCTAGTTGATGGTCATATACATTTGGTCTCTGTTGGACTACTGGGTGTCCTGGCCCCTCACATCCTGTCGCATATTATGAGTTTCCATGTTGTGCCAGCGCTGACTGACTTGTCACCCCTTCAGGGTCTTCTTTGAAGTCGCTAAGAGTGTGCCCATGGACATGCTGAAGCTGGAGGAAGCTCTGAAGAGCTAGCCCTGGGACATGGGGTGAGGAGCTCTCCTGCGGGGCTGCCGGCCCAGACTCATGGCATGGGACATTGAACAGCCTGTATGTATATAGCTTGTAAATAGCAATGTGCTCCCTTTGCCCAAGGGGAGTCTGTACATAGACATTTTTTATTATTAAAGGAAGGGCGGGGGGAGGAAAAAATAGTGGTAGTGTTAATGGAAACTAGAAGATGTCAATAAACTATTGTGTATCTCCCCTCCTTGGTAGAATCTCTGCTTCAGGGTCACAGCACAGCAGTGCTGAGATCCAGCCTTGGTGGCCTAGGTGCTGTGCACACAGTGACACGCTACCTGCCGCACAGAGCCTGCTGTCTGCTGTGGCCCAAGGTGGGAGGGAGGGAAATGGAGAAGGTAACTACCTGCCCCATGACAGCAGGACTCAGTGTTGGGCTGCCTGGGAACAGTCTTATCCCAGTGGCTCTTGAAGTTTCCTGATGCCGTGGTTGTATCTTGGCTTCCGGTTTGCTCCGGGGGGTGTTTCCTGTCTTGCCTGAACAGCTGCAGTGCTGTTTCTGGATGTTCTGTATCCATCTCTCCAGGCCCAGTGGATGTGCCTGTAAGTGCTGCCTGGCATCAGCCAGAGCCAGGTGGTGGCATGCAGCCTACAGCAGTCCTCAGTACTGGCCCTAAAGCCCAGGAGGAACTCTTGTGTCAGTACTGGGGTCAGGCTGGCACTGAGGCTACTGGAAGCCTGGGTGTGTGGGGGGAAGGGGAGGGCTGCACAGGGCTGAACTCTTTTTGATTTAAGAAGCTGACCTGACTTTTATCAGAGTGGAAGGCAAAGCAGGGAGGGGAAACCCACAGCCTTAAATCAGTGGAGCAATGTATGAGAAATGGGGACACTTGAAGAGCTGCTGCTGACTAAAGGCACGGAGACAGCAGTGGAGAAATGGAAGTTGCTGCTCCTTAAAGAGGTGCTGAGAGTTGGGGTCACCTCTGCTGCTGCCTGCCAGCGTTGTTCTAGGGGAGCTGCAGCTTGCCAAGCCAAGTACTTAGCTCTGGCTAGTGGCTGCTGAAGCTTGAGGAGGAGCATCGGCTGGGGCCAGCTGTGAACATAGCTGAGCACAGGAAAGCCTGGTGACAGAGTTATGAATTTTGTTGGTGCCCTCTGAACTGGGCAAGGTGGCTGAGCCTGTTGCTTGCTTCCCCTCTTCTGCTGCAGGACAGCACCAGCACCACTTGTGCATATCTCAGGTTCAGCATGTGCCTCATGGCACTGAGGCCATGTGGTTAGCCTGCATTTGCCATGTTGAAGGCTGTGTAGATGGTCCTGGCTCTCTAGCCCTAAAATAGTTGTGCAGCCAGGGAGAACCCCTGCTCCCTTGGTTTCAGTGGTGTTAGTTCAGGAGAGCTAGAGGGGGGTCTTACTAATAGAGTGGTGGGGGAGGGAGGAGATCTGAAGTGCCAGGAGTTGTGGGGTGGGGGATGCAGAGCTAATACAAACCAAAATCCTCTTTGTGCCCACCCTTAGACAGGCGAACTAGCCTTGAAACAGCCTGCTCCTTGGCACTGGAGGACCCAGATGCAACAGGCTGTGTGTGCTCGTCTGTATGAAGGTCCATAGTGGAGCTTGAGGCAATGTGGATGCCCATAAAGATGTCTCATCCCATACATTTTACCCGTCGCTGAGAGCAGTTCACAGTGAGCCTGACCTGAAGCCTCAGAGGCACTTAAGTCAGTATCACCAGGAAACTTCAGGCAGGTGGAGCTGAGCTGCTGTGGGAGCCTGAAGGCACTGCCATCTTGGCTGGGCAGAGCAGCTGTGACCATTGTCCTGCTTGGCACTGGTCTCTGCATATCTCCTCTACCAACTCAGTGCATTCTGTGCCATCACATCCACCATTCATAGTTTCTAGGGTCGGAAGGGACCTGAGTAGATCATCT